GCTGAGAATGTAGACCTCATTAACTAGATTTATATTAGAATGTCTGAGCAGATGTCACCTCTTATTACCAGAACACAGAGAATGAAGATTAAAAAAACCAGGCTTCTTGCTATTAAATAAACACCGAGTGGCAAATTGTGAAGAAACAGTAGCTTAGCAATAAATCACCTTCAACATTCATACTACGCAAAATGGAAACAGCTGGCTGAAGGGCACATTCAAGTCATTGCTTCTATAAAGAGATTTGCTTCACTAGAAACCTATCACCTTTAGGATCCCACTGGGATCAATATGATTATTCAAAAGTAAGATCTAGGACTAAAACTATTTATCTTCTTGAGGGGAAAAAAAAAAAACCCACACCCAAACCCGCAAGTTCTGCTTTTTGCAGCTGATAAATCACAAAAACAAAAAAGGTACTTCTGACATTGTTGCAACATATGAAATCTTTCTGTTATTGCCTTACACAAATTTTATTAGGGGATTTACTGTACATCTTAATATACTGTTCACCACCAAAGGCTCACTTTAGCAAACAGCAAAATGCATTTCCTCATGTGCTATTATTTTTCAATGGAGTTAGCATTTGAACTGTTCTATGCTTATGCAGTCACTGTCCCACTCATGTAAATGGTGATTTTTATTTAGGCAGAATGGTTGAAACCATGAACTCAGATTACCTTAAGAAAAGTTTTCCATGAGACCTTCTCATAGCACTGCACAGGATTTCTAAAGTAATCTTGAAGTGACCAGAATTTTCTATACAGGTTATAATCTATTGGAATAGAACTGCGGAAAAAAAAAGTAATATTGAAAGTGATATATTAAATTCGAGTCCACGCAGAAATGTGCAATCCTAGAAAATATCATTAATTTTGTAAGTGAAACAATGAGTCAATAGTGAGCCCTTACAGAGAAATCTGTAACTCAGAATTTGTCCCTAAAAGTTTTCCCATCCAGTCTACTGTCCTTTCTCACCATAAAAGCAAAAATAGTAAGAAAAAGGGATCCTAGGAGTTTTTCACTATCTGAAGAATGAAGAGGAACACAATTTTTTCTCCTAAAAGCATATACAGCATGTTCTTGGAATCCCTGAATACATCTTACCAGAAGAAGTTTTGACAAGACAATTGGGAAAATTGTCAAAAAGAGAGAACAGTAGTGGTTCTCAGCCAGGGTGTGCAACTTTTTCAAATAATCTGTAGATTTCTTTCTCTTCCAGGCAACTCTATTTGAAAAGATCAAGATACTGCTAGGTTGTATCTAATCCTGAAAGGATAGGAGATAAGTAGAATCCCAAGTACAACATTTAAGTATATTTCCCAAACAGCTCTTTACTTTCACTTTATAAAGTTTTGTTTCAATTTATTTTAAAATGGCTGTAAGCTCACCAACTTGTTGGTGCTTCATCATCTCCCATTTCACCTTCTTCTACATCCATTCCTTCTTCTCTCTCCTCAGTGTGCTAATAGGAAAAAATAATTTAAAACTTATACAAGTGCCACTACAATTTGCATAGTTTTCACAGTGTTCCCTATTTTAAACATTCCATTACACTTTAGATCAGAAAGTTGGTAATTCAAAAGATCTCTAAAGTATTACTCCAGTAAAATGCACAACAAATTCCTGTCTTAACACCTTACTACGCTTTGCAATGGTAGCCTGACTTCTCTTGAAATAAGCTGTACAGATCTGTCCTCTGTACACTGTGGGGAAAACTTAGTACAGTTAAGTGACAGTGCTTATCCCTCACAATCACATCAACTTTTTTCCCCCCCCTCAAAGTCTGCACAGTTTAATGTACCAGGCAACAAGCCTATTTCCAGGATCAGCAGCTTGGTCTGTAAGAGTAACAACCAAATTATGAACATACAGTTCCAAATATTCAGCACAGTAGCACACTTTTGTGCAATCTTACACATTTACTGCAGAATGAGTGAAAAATGACATAGTAATTTTCACCTTCTGTCCTAGAGTGCTCTCATGTTCATTGGTATTGAAAACAGTGACATTTTCCAGGTTAAACTGACTCTGCAAGTTAAGTCCTGTGAAAAACAAAGGGTCAGTCTTAGAAGCTGTGAAGTTCATAAGTCTGTTCATTCAGTTAGCTGCTTATGAGATGCTCATACTAAATTCTCAGAAACAGCATTCAAAACTTGTGTTTGAAATCACAACAAATGAAAGTCACTTACAATATCAAGGGTAGAGTCAAGAACTAAGATAAAAGTGCAGAGCAATTTTCTCCAGCTGGATTTTGTCTGCTACCCTCAAACTTAGAAGACTCAGCATATTTAGACTTTGTTAGATGTTAAGTCTGATGAAATGCAAAAAAGTCTCACCTGACTTTTCTGAAAGTGGAAATAACCTAGCCAAGAACAGCTGAATTCTTCCACAGAAGACTGTGTTTTGTGACTTCGATAATCTTCTTAGGAGGTCTAAATATTGTAAAAAGTAAAGAATATTAGTATTTATCCCTCTTTCAATTTCTCACACACTAGAATTCAAGACTTGCTAATTCCATGACCTACATAGCTAATGAAAGGAAGCTAATTTGTATATTTAAACACTAGTAACTTACTCAGATCAGCCATAATTTTTCCAAGTGCGTTCTACTAATCCTTCTAACATCTTCAACAGCAATAAAAAAAAAGTTCAAATGAATCCTATTCAAATACAGCCTCTGATATGGACCTTGTCATTGCTGAGGAATAAATATTTCTCAGATGTTCTTCTATAATGACCTCCACTGATGAAAATACTTCCCCAAGGTCAGAATAACTTTTACCTTAATCAGCAAGACTCATGAATATCTGCCGAGTGATCTGCCTTTTATTACTTATTGAACACATCTGAATGTACATCAAATTATTAAACTTGCTTTCATTTGCTGAGATAAGGAGTTCTTTCATTCCCCACCATTGCCCTGAAAAACTACAACTCACCATTGCACATTCGTAGCAAGTAATTTTTCCCTGCAGAGTAAAATGTATTCTGGAACAGAGTAAAGGTATTTAGAACATTAAGAGAACACAAAATCTTCTTGAGCAGATTTTAATTCAATCACAAGCCATAAGTAAGTATGAGTCATTCCTACTGTTAACTCTAAATTGGAGTCTTCCCTTAAATAAGAGGCAGGTTTCACAACAAGTCAACATAAAACAAGCGGTCCCTCAAATTCCAAGAAAGCATAAAGCACAACATGTAAATCCAGCCTCCATATAGAAAAAAGACATGTGACAATAAACTGTAAGAGCATCATCCAAATATTTTTTTTTTTTTTTTTTTTTTTTGCCTTTATTATTCCATGCATTATTTATACACATAAGCAAAGAGCAATACACAAAAGATTTAGAGCATTCACAGCACTAGTAATTTGGCAGCATGTGAAAGAAACTGATGGACAGATACTTGAATTAATGACAAAGAACAGTTTGTCAACATACCAGGAGCACAATATTATTTGAAACAGAACAACCTGAATGAATGCCTATGGGAGGTAGTCTGGTTAGGAAAACACAGAGAAACTGGAATGCTTTTCAGGTGTTACCTATAGAGTTGCTGACACTACTGCCAAAGAGCAAATCAAAGATTCTGAGATCCAAAATTTCTTATGACCTTGGAATAAAATGCTGGTAGGTTACGACTTCTGCCCAAGACTCTGTATTCCCTATTTAATTAACAGGGCCTGCAGCACCAGAAGCTCAGCAGCCCATTGCAGCAGCTCTTCTGCTGCTACAGTACCATGGCACAGCAAGAGCATAAAGCGCTCACACAGGCCTCGAAACACCAACTGTTCCTCAAGAGCAGAAATATTTTAGGGTAACATATTCAGCATTGCTATAGTCCTGTAATGGAAAGTTCAGTAAGGAGCTGACCAAGACAACTTCTTCCCCTGCAAACTGGAGATGGAGGAATCTCCTGCAGCTCTGAGGAAAAAGCTGAATAATAAGTCAAGAGAGAAGCTACTCATACAAGTTGTGTATCAGAAGTTAAATTTCCGGTTTTTAAAATGCGACAAACACTGTATACTGTAGAGAAAGGAGTTACAAATAAAACATCAAAGTTATGATCTCTCTTATTACTAATTTTCTGACCTCTGCTGCCCAGCCATTTTTAAGTCTCAGAACAAAACGTGCTCAATGATACTACTTTAACACAAACAGATGCAAAGACAGCTAAAAATCTTTTTGTAAAAATGGTTCAGGTAGACAGAAGCTTTGGCACAACTATATCACATTTTGGAAAAATGCCTACCGATTTCCACGTAGCAACATTTTTCTCCACAAAAGTGAAGATTTTGTCACACTGATCCAAAGGCAGGCAATCCAGAACATCCCCCAGAAGCACAAATGGGGTTGATGCAGTGCAGATACCTATGAGGAATAGGGAATATATTATTCAGCAAATTTGAGCTGAAATGCAATAAAGACGCATGGCAGTTGAGGGTCATGATGTTAAAAAAGTAAAAAGTTCTCCCGGGATCCTACAAACCCTAACAAAAAGCCTGGGCTAAAGTGTGAACTTCCATTAAAGCTATTTCTATATGTACACATATGCAGATAGGCTTTACAAGAGCTCTGCACTAACATAAGGCAAATAATAATAACTGTTCTAAAGACCTCAAAGTCTGCAACAAAGCTGCATCTCTTTGCAGACTGCACATGAACTCTTTCAGACTTCTAAATCCACAGCTAGTTACACTACACACACCCACAAAGTTCGGGAGTCTGTCCTCAAGAAAAGCACCACTAAAGCCGTGCTCCAAGTCTGTCTACCTATGCTCTACAATTTGGTAGTATTTGCATTCCTCATAATCACAGGTCTTGTTATTCTACAGTTCATAAAACATGTTATCTAGTTGAGCTATACTTACTAAAACAAACAAGTAATTGATGTGTAATGTGAACACATAAACAAAGGGAAGAGCACAAAAGCCTCTTCAGAAGAGATGAGCGCACTGATTTCTGATGCAAAAGACGCTTACAGAAACAGATTTGAGTATCTAAAAAACAGGTCAGCACTGGGAGAGGAGCACAGATATTCAGGAGAAGTTATTTCGGGCTCTGTCAGCAACTGACAGAGAAAAGTACAAGTCACTTAACCTCTCTGCCTCAGTGGTCTCATCTCTGAAATTATGATGGGAGGCTTCTAAGCATTTTACAGTGGTGGACAAAGATAGGAAATGCTAATTATGTTGCAACCAAAACCATGCATCTTCCTCTATTTAAAAGACAAAAAAAAGATACCAACAAAAATGTCACACATATAACTGAATTTAATTATATTATACTTCATTCCTCTTGTGAAACAGACTTAATAAACACTAGCATAAGGGCCACATATTACAAAAGCTAACTGCTGTAGATGACTTCCAAAAATCAAGACTTTAAAATTCCCCTAAATGCTCCCTAAAACTGCCAACAGATTTGAGAGAAAGATGCTCACCTTCTGTGACTCCATTAATAGCAAGAGAAATAATTGCCAGGAGATTTTCACATGGAGCTTTGTTTATCTAAACAAACAAAACAGTGTTAAACTTCTCTATTCTGACCTAAAAACATCTAACAAAACTAAAATTCTTGTTTCCAAATAGGCATATTTAAAACAAATATTGACGCTCAATTTTCCAAGACTTCAAACAATCTACTAAATCAGACCTGTCAGTTAAGTGTATGAAATTTGTATTTAGTGAGCAACATTTCTTGCCCGCTTCCAGCCATTAAAGACCGTACAACTACTGTGTAGAGAGAGTCGTTTATCTCTGAAATGTAATATCCCACATTCAGCATTTCATTTAAGTAATACCAACAAAAACATCATTTGATTCCTTTCATGATTCTTTTCAGCTGACAGGCAGCTTTGTTACATGCTAGTAACAGATAACCCACTCCACTCTTAAAACACGGCTGTAGAATAGTGCGTATTTATGAACTAGATTTTTAAGACATAGCAGACTTTCATAAGCATTACAAAGAACTGCTGGAAAAGGCTAAATCAACACCTCTCGCTATAGTGTGCTATCTGTAATACACAGCCATTCTGTCCTATCTACCAAGCTCCTTTAATAATCTATATTTGATCTTAATTAGATAACTTTTACATAATTCATGTTTTTAATAAACAGTATTTCCTTATACTAAGGTAAGTTGCTGTCAATACACTCACTTGCAAATAGAAACATGAGCTTTATCAAGAGATAAGCTGTAGCAGTTTTAAGTACTTACTATTTCTTCTTCTACAATAACTCTGAAAGCTTGATCCAAGGTACACTTCTTTTCATTTTCACTGCAAATACAAACATTCCATATCAGTTAGTAACAACTTTTAGGGACAAATTACTAAAAATTATCTGAATAGGCACCTTGTAAAATCCAGCACCATTTACTTACCTCCCAGGAATCTGGTTAAATGCGTTCAACAATGGCTTGATACTTTTGTTATTCAGAGCGTCTCTGGTGGATGCCTACCAAAATGTAAAGAAAGACAAGTTACAAAACCAGAGGGATCTCCTCCCTCCATCTGAGGGTGGACAGAAATACTAAGGAATCTATTTGCCGCACACCATGTGTCAGTTTACAAAGAGAACTTTGTGACAAGCAGGGCAAATAACAAGTGCCTAGCAAATTAGGCATGTGACCTAGCAGAGCATCACACCCTAAACCTGGGCTAACAGTGTGCTGAAAACAGTATTTTTAGTGAAACACACAGGAATACGCTGTTGTGACCAATGCTGCATCTACAACAGTCTCAAGTCACACACACACAACTTCACCTGCCTCACAGGCAGGTTATGATGGCTTGGGACCTGAATTCTGCTAACAAGATGGTCTAAAAATTACTATATCCTGTAACAAAATCAATCTAATGGAGCAAGCATCTGTGCCTCGACCACTTCTGCAGAAATCCCATCCCCTCGCCCGACAAACTGGGCTGCCAACGGTGGGATCCAGAGGCACATCCAGCCCCACCTGCTCTGGGAACGGAAAAGGATCATTCAGCAGAGACACAACAGAAATAAACGCAATAAGCTACAGAGGTTTTGCTGCGGGGGTTTGGTCATGATTTAATTTCATTTTATTTTACATTAATTCTAATTAAATAAACAGCA